ATATCGACCCATCAGCCTTACTTCCATTGTGAGTAAGGTTGCTGAGAAAATGGTACTGAAGAGATTGCTTTGGGTGTGGACGCCGCACCCCCACCAGTATGCATATCGTAGCATGCGTACCACGACGATGCAGCTGGCACACCTGACACACGAAGTGGAGCATAATAGAAATCACTATTTCCAAGTGAGCCTTCCCAAGAAGAGCGGTATTGGCAATCAACTCCACTACAGACCCCATCGGACCCTGCTGGTGTTGGTTGATTTCAGCAAGGCTTTTGACTCCGTAGATCATCGAGTCCTCAGTCGCTTGCTGGCTAATATTCCGGGGGTGAATTGTCGAAGGTGGCTTAGAAACTTTCTATGTGGTCGCTACGCGAAGACACGAGTTGGCCACAGACACAGCGATCGGCGTCCCATGCAGCGAGGAGTTCCTCAGGGGTCCGTGCTGTGACCATATTTGTTCTCCCTTTACGCACACCCACTTCTCAATCTGCTGAACAGCTTTGCGGGTGTCACAGCAGACATGTATGCGGACGACCTCTCTATTATCGTTAAGGGGCAGTCCCGGGAAGACGCCATTCCCACTGCCAACATGGTTCTTCAAAAACTGCATGCGTGGAGTCAGGAAAATGGCCTGGCCATCAACCCGTCAAAGTGTGAAGCTGCTTGGTTCACACTATCCACGCACACGGAGTCAGATTATGATCGTGAAGGAAGGTGGCCCCTGGTAGTGGCTGGATGTCAAATCCCAGTCATGACCATTGGGTCGTCACACACTACGAAGCTTCTCGGCATGGATCTCGATCCACGACTGACGCTAAATGTGGCGGCCACCAAGCAATGCGCTGCCACTTCGCAACGGATATCGCAGCTACGCTGCATAGCGCACAAAGAGGCGGGACCATCTCCACATGACCTACGCACGTTCGTCATTGGATACGGTGCTCCAAATTACGCTATGGCAGCGAGCTCATATGGGCAGTAGCGACGGATTCAGCGAAGAATGAGATGCAGAAGACGTACGCAACTCTGGCACGCATTGTCAGCGGAGTTCCGAGCACTGTCGACCCGGAATCCGCACTGCTGGTGGCTAATATGCCGCCGCTCCATGTCCTTTGCCTGCGCGCGCGGCTCTCAATATTTGAGAACACACGCGCATGTCAGACGGACTGGATGCGGAGACCCCCGCCTGAGCCACCGCCTCGCGCCGGTTTCCGCATCTCGCCATTATCTCGGGACGAGCTATATGCCTTCGTAGACGCATACACAAAGGACTATGGCATCACCGAGAGCTCGCCACGCGAAGAGCGGTTCTTTCGCAGCTCCATTCCTCCCTGGTTTGCGGCCTCCGCACTCCGGGTCACCATCGGGGAGGAACTTCCGATAGACCACTCAATAACGGACGAAGAAGAGCTGATAAGGGAAAAGCGCAGAGTCAGCGAAGAGGCTCTGGCGCTGCACAGCCATCGTTCGTGGATACTTGCGACCGATGGCGGTGTCGACGTTCCCAAGTCAGCAGGGGTTGGAATACTGCTTTCATCCCTCAACTCATCAGAGATAATAGAAAAGGCCAGCATAAACTGCGGTGCACGCCCATGCAGCTACAGGACGGAATCACGTGCGCTGCTTCTAGCCCTAGAGAAGCTGATGATTCCTCGTATCCGCCACAGGCGTAAAACCCTGCTTGTGGTTACGGACAGTCAGTCTCTTCTAGCGGCTCTAAACAAGGGCCCGCTCAGTCAGACAGACTGGACGGAGGATCAGATCTGGCAGCGTCTCTTGACACTGACGTGTGCTGGCTGGTCCGTGCACCTGCAGTTTTGTTACGGACATCGCGGAGTACATGCTAACGAGCCTGCAGATCAGTATACGACGCAGACTATGGAAAGTGGACAATACACGGAGCATGGAACCGCACCTTTATGGCATACGGATCTGCTGACATGTTTTACTACCCAGCTCACCAACAAGTGGCGTAGTACCATTCGCCAAGAAACTCACCGCTACTCGCTCTGTAATGCCAGGAAGCGGTCTCTGCCACTGCAGGATCAGCCAACTTCCACAGGCACGCCAGTTGACACGCATGAAACCTTTCGCCATCTGCTTCCGGAATGTACAGACGCTCTGGCTGTGCGCCAACGGCTGGGCATTAAGAAGGACCTTCGCACCGAAAGCTTCTCCCAATGGCAGCTGCCTCATAGCAGGAAACTCATGTCGCTACTCGACCACCTCCTCGGCACACTGATGACATCGTGTGGCTAGACATGTCGGTAAGAGCAGGGAAAAATAATAATAATGAGCATTCCCGCCACTGCAGAGACGTGGTGCATCTTGCGATCCCGCTGGCGGCTCTCCTCTTCCACCGCTGTTTTTGCGCAAGAGGCCACCACAGTCATTTTTGTGGTTTGGTCGGCCTCGTGTTGCGCTCCGGGTTCTCCTCCTTCATCGCCTTGCGGTGCTTCCTTCGCCGTCCCTGGCACCTGTGACTGTCCCGTGACGGTTTGTTCCGAAGCCCGATTGCCCTGGGAGGTCCTCCCGCCACCAGCATAAACTCCACCCGCTGCCTGCTGAGATGCGTCGGAGCGTGGGGATGTTGTGCCTGCGGCGTGCCCTCCGCCCAAAGACTCCGGTCCACTTGCACGCATCCGAGCAGCAGACGCGCTGCCAGTGCCGGACGGATTGCAAGTGCCACTTCGCAGTGGGTCGCTGCTGGATTGGTCCTGCCTCGTCGGAGCAGTGAGTGCTCCTCCCGAGGTGGGATTGGGGTCCTCACCCACGGTGTTTCCCCCACCCTCCTCGTCTTCCTGATTGCTATTGTCCTCAGAGTTCACATTCCCCTTTCGTCCAGAGCCACCGGCCACGGGTCCACCTTCCGCAGCCATCACACCCCGCGCGTGCCCAGCAGTCACCGCGCCATCACCCGCGGCCGCACACGCACCCCGTCGCAGCAGCCCTCACTCACACGCACGAGCAGCTGCGCATCACTGCAGGAGCCAACAGGACGCAGAGCACACGGCCAGTCATCATCACAAACAGTGGAGTCGCCTAACGCTGCGGAGCCAACCTGCGATAGCACGAGAAAAACAAAGATAGACACAGCCGCTACACCACACACAGCAACAAATGGCAGCACCCCAGCAGCAGCAGCGCACACACCACGAGACAGATGGAGTCAGTACGACTGCAGAGCTCGCACACCGCACCGCAAACCACAAGTTTAAAAAGCAATAATTAAAAAGCAATAAAAAACAATAATTAAAAAAGAAAACAAACCCAGGGCTCCAGTGCGCATGCATATGAGTGTGTCCGCGATGCGTTCAACGTGGCGGATGCGGTGCACAACGCGGAGCACACAGCACGGCAGCGGAAGCAAGTGAAGCAAAACACAATCATTATTTCCTCTTATTTTATGCAGTGAACCACAACACACGCGCACAAATCCCCGCGGTTGAGTGCTGGCACGCACAGCCCGCACACACCTCTTCAGCCCAGAGTGGTGTACGCCAGCGCGGATGCGGCGAGCACCAGCGGGGCACACACCCACGCAGAGCTGCTGAGGCTGCCGTCCATTTCGCGAAGACGTGACGGTGCGCTGGTGGTCGTAGTAGTGGCTGGCGCCTCTGTAGTGGTGGTGGTTGTTGTTGGTGCCTCTGTTGTGGTAGTGGTCGTCTGGGCAGCATCGTTGACATCTTGATCTGTTTGGTCTGCGGATGTTTCAGTGCGGCTTTGTGGCCCTGTCGTACTCCTATCTTCTTCGTGTACAGTATCGATAACATCGCCTGACTGCCGTTTCGGAGCTGTCAAACTTTTTCCTCCACCTACGTCAGCCTCTCCCTGTTCCACAGTGGACCCTTTACTTTGCGACTTTGGCGCTGTTGTACCATTTTCATCTTCTGTCGTGCCTTTCTTTTCTCCTTCCTGTACCGGCATTTCCGCCTCATTTGATTGCACTACGGCACCGGAAGAACCTGGGGTCACTGGCACTTTTGTTTTCCTGTCCTCACCGGACCCCGTATCTGAACCCGGTTCCTCATCGGGATCGTCCTCCACTTGCGACTCAGAGGACAAAGAACTCGAGCTGGTGGGCTCTTCTACATCATCAACCTGAGTAGCAGCAATGGTCTCATCCGTGGAATGTGCCACGCACACGGACGGGAAGCAGCAGCACAGGGCAAGCACCAACAGGGCGCACAGCAGACGGCACGTCATCATCATCGTGAGTGTGGTCGTTCAGTGGTGTGGAGCTGATCTGCACAGTGAGGGACATGGAGAGCAACAGGGGAGACGAGAGGTGCAGCAGACACACACAGAGGGCACACCACATGAGGAGAGGGCAGCAGCCAGGCATGCACCGTACGCCGCACACCACGCACGACATACACTCCAATCCGCGGCAGCAGGCACACACACACACAGCCCTGCCGCAACACCAACACACACAGATGGAAGAGGGAGATGCAAACAGGAGCGGCACACAAGGCTCCACCGCATGCACATGCGGCGAGAGCGGTCCGTCGTGTCGGCACCCCTCACGGAGGGTGCGCACACACACAAGAAGGTGCAGCGCACACAGCAACACAAAAGCATAGTAACAATACAAAAAGGAGATCCCCGCACACCACGCGGATTGTTGGTCCACGGGAAGTGCAGCCAATATTCACCACAAGCAGTTCAGTTGCAGTAGGCCTTCGTCCACATTCATCGCACTCAATTTCATGCAGGCCCGGCCACCACCGCAGCAGCCGCAACATGAAGAAGAAGCAAAAGAGGGGAGGTGTGGGAGCCTGCGGTGCTGCTGTCACTGTCACTGTCATTTGTAATTGCTGTGTTATTTGTACCAAAGGCGGTCTTCTCTTTCTTTGCTTCTCCGTCGTTTTTGAGGGAATGTTTATGTTGGTGGTCTTCTTCTGTAGCTGCCGATTCAGGAAATTCGGCATCTTTTCGAATTTTCGCGTCTTCCTCGTCTGCCCCAAGTGCGGCAGCAGCACCACCTTCTCCTGCAGAAGATTGTGGCAACGGTGGGTCAATGGTTTCATTTGGTTTACTTTTTGTTAAAACCGAGGGAATTTCCCTTTTCAATGGATCTGATGAACTGGCGGCGGATCCCTCCTGTTGCATGCCCCGTGGTTTTACAGGTGGCGGTGACTGTGGCGTTGACTTTGGCTCTGTCGTTGAAGCAGTCGGCACCTTTTCTTTTTGTGCTTTTGGTAGTTGCGGTTGTTCTTCCCCCCGGCGTCGTTTTTCCTGTACTTCTTCATGGCCTTGAAGTAAATGGTCATGCTGGGATAATCCTCTGTGCTGTACGTCGGTCTCGTGTTGTGGTTGTCCTGGCTCTACTTCCAGTTGCTTTCTTTCCTGCTGCGCTGGGTCTCCTTGTAGCGCTGCTTCTTGTCCTACAAGTTGATTTCCTTTTATTACTGAAGCGTCTTCACGTGACGATTGTTTTTCGTGACTTTCTTTGTTTTTCTGTTTGTTCTGCTCTTCAAGTCCTTTTTTTGTTTTTACTTCTTCAACATCTTGCCGTACTTGCCGCGTGACTCCTGCATCTTGCACCGGGTTGGTTTGATGACTCTGACCAGCACCGGTAGGTGGAGCAGGAGGCTGTAGGCCTGTTTGGGGATTTGGGTCACTGGACTTGTGTGACGGCAATGACGGATTGGTAGAAATGGCATCTGTGTCGTTTGTCGTCGCCTTCGTACATTCCGCGGTATTTCCTTCCGACCCCGGCTCCACGGAGCAGGACTTGTGATCCAAACCTTCTCTTCCATCCATAACTTCAGATGATCCACCTTGTGGGGCTTCGGACCTCCCAGAAGAAAAATCCACATTCTCATCAGACTCATCACCATTGACCGCCGAAACGCTGCACCACAGCACGCAGAGGGCACACACCAGCAGCACACGGCCAGTCATCATCGCCAGCACTCCTGTCACTTGCGTGTGGCCTTCAGCACAAACTAACTCCCCGTCAACGTAGAGCAAAAACAAAAGGAGAGACACGTCACGCAACCACGCACCGGCAACAAACAGCAGCAGCCCAGCAGCAGCGTACACACCACGAGACAGATGGAATCAGTACGATTGCAGAGCTCGCACACCACACCGCAAACCACAAGTTTAAAAAGCAATAAAAAACAATAATTAAAAAACAATAACTAAAAAAAGAAAAACAAACCCAGGGCTCCAGTGCGCATGCTTATGAGTGTGTCCGCGATGCGTTCAACGTGGCGGATGCGGGGCACAACGCGGAGCACACAGCACGGCAGCAGAAGCAAGTGAGGCAAAACAAGATCATTATTTCCTTTTATTTTATACAGTGAACCACAACACACGCGCACAAATCCCCGCGGTTGAGTGCTGGCACGCACAGCCCGCACACACCTCTTCAGCCCACAGCGGTGTACGCCAGCGCGGATGCGGCGAGCACCAGCGGGGCACACACCCACGCAGAGCTGCTGAGGCTGCCGTCGATTTCGCGAAGACGTGACGGTGCGCGGGTGGTCGACACAGCTGGCGCCTCTGTAGTCGTAGTACTTGGTGCCTGTGTTGTGGTCGTCGTGGTGGTCGTCGTGGTTGGTGATTTTGTTGTGGTCGTCGTGGTCGCCTCAAAAGAAGCTTCGGCGTTATTAACTTCTTTGTCCGCGGGTGCACCGGTGCCAATTTCAGATCCTTTATTACCCTTCGCATTCTCTGTCAGTGATGTATTTGACACGTTATTTACTTTTGGTCCCGGAACGACCAAACCTGATGCCTCTGGCTCAATTTTGTCCGCAGCCGGCTCATTGGCTGAATCATCAGCAGCCTGACCGTCCACTGGTAGTCCTCCTGTTTGAGAGGGCGCTGGACCGGCGACGTTTCCATTAGGTGCAGTCGCCCTAGATTCAGCTGAGGTAGGCGACAAATTGGGGTCTTTTGCAGTACCTTGGCCTTCAGAGGGCTCCTGAGTGTCTCCCGCGTGCACGGACGGGCAGCAGCACAGGGCGAGCACCAACAGGGCGCACAGCAGACGGTACGTCATCATCATCGTGAGTGTGGTCGTTCAGTGGTGTGGAGCTGATCTGCACAGTGAGGGAAATGGAGAGCAACAGGGAGACGAGAGGTGCGGCAGACACACACAGAGGGCACACCACATGAGGAGAGGGCAGCAGCCAGGCATGCACCGTACGCCGCACACCACGCACGACACACACTCCAATCCGCGGCAGCAGGCACACACACACACACAGCCCTGCCGCAACAACAACACACAGATGGAGGAGGGAGAAGCAAACAGGAGCGGCACACAAGGCTCCACCGCATGCACATACGGCGAGAGCGGTTCGTCGTGTCGGCACCCCTCACGGAAAGTACGCACACACACAAGAAGGTGCGGCGCACACAGCAACACAAAAGCAAAGTAACAATACAAAAAGGAGATCCCCGCACACCACGTGGATTGTTGGTCCACGGGAAGTGCAGCCAATATTCACCACAAGCAGTTCATTTGCAGTGGGCCTTCGTCCACATTCATCGCACTCAATTTCATGCAGGCCCGGCCACCACCGCAGCAGGAGCTGCTGCACACGCAACAAGAAACAAAAAAGGGAGGTGGTGTGGGAGACCACGGTGCTGTTGTCACTGTCGCCAGGCGCCGCTGTGTTATTCGCTTTGTCTGTGGCTGTAGATGATGTTGTTTCCTTCTCGCTGCCATCCTCTCGTTCATGTTGGTGTTCTCCCTCCGGCACAGCGGCATGAGATGCGGAACCACCGTTCAAAATCTACGCATTGCCCGCGTCAGCGTCATTGGCGGCAGCAGCAGCATCCGCAGAAGAAGATGGTGAAGTTGTCTCAGCCTGACCCTCAGTTATTGCATTCTGCCTTGCATCCGCTGTTGGTTCAGTGCCTTTTCTGCAGATCTTCTGTTGGCTTCATGGTCGCTGGGACTTCCGTTGAGGATGGCAGTGCGCTGTGTGGTGGTGATTTCGGTGGCGGTTCTGATGGGCCTGCTGGCACCTCTTATTCTGCTGCTGTTGGCGGCAATTCCTCCAATGCTTCTTTTTTCGTCCGGTGCCGCCTCCTCTGCACCTCCTTCCGCCGGCGGTTTTGGCTGTCGCAGGGGCATTGGCCGTGCTTCTCCCTGTTCTGCTGCACCGGTCGTAAACGTTCGATAATTTCCAGAGAGCGACTTTGAAGCAGACTCTGTGCCCGGATGTCCAGGGGAACGACTGGTGCCTGAATCAGACAGTCATTCGGGTGCTTCAGCCGCAGGTGCGTGCTCTGCATTGTGCGCGCTGCCAGTCAAACATTACGGATTTCTTTTTGCTCCTTTCACCACATCCCCTGGTCCTCCTGAGCCCATTCTGGCACTCCCTGTACCACGGACACACTCTGCTCAGCGTCAGTCGCTGTTTGAAGCTGCGGTGTTTGCTCTTGACTGTCGCCGTTCGATGCGCCCCGTGTGAGACCCGAGCTGGGTGCAGCCGCATGCTCTGCTGAGTCCTCGGACGGCTGCGTCGCATGTGCTGTTTGTCCTTCTGCTGGCGCTGGTGCTGGAGTTCTCCGTGCGCTCTCCCCCGTCCTGAGCACGTGTGGCCCTTCTCGTTCCTGTTGTGCCCACTCGCTCTGAATATTTGTAACTGACGCGCTGCCTTTCTTTCCATCCCTCTCTTCCACGGTGAGAGTTGCCGACCCCGCAGAAAATTGTGGCGGTTGGGAGCACACACTCGACATTGACGGCTCTTCGCCGCAGCATGCTGAGCCTGCCTCCTCCCTTTCTCCTGCCACACTTCCACCAGCGGGAGGATCGTCTTGGACGCCGGAGACAACTGCGGGCTGCTGCTTGGGCCAACACCACCACCAGCACCCGAGACAGGAGTACTGCTGGCAGCGTCTGTATCGGCAGCAGAAGAAGATGAAGCCATTGGTGCAGCCCCACTGCCTCTGAGCTTCAGTCCCGCTCCCTGCATCACCGACCGGTGGTTGTCCTGCATCACTGTTAAGCGTTCCGCTTGCACCAATGCCGCCGTCCTCACCGGCCGGTACCGCCGCAGCTACTCCCCGTAAGGCGGCACTCGACACGCAGTCCCTCCTCGCAAACACCACTTCGCCATCCATTCCCCTCGCAAGCCCCGCGTCGTCCATTCCACCATCAGCACAGTAGCACACAGGCCACGCGTCACCACCACCGGCACCGCATCACAGCACGCAGAGGACACACACCAGCAGCACACGGCCAGTCAACATCATCGCCATCACTCCTGTCACTTGCCTGCAGCCTTCAGCACAAACTAACTCCCCGTCAACGCAGAGTGAAAGCAAAAGGAGAGACAATTCACAAAGCCACGCACCGTCCCATCCAGCAATGAGAGTCACGCACCACAACAACAATTGGGTGGGCGCGGTTCAACAACAATCAAAAAAAGAAGTGCTCCTCGCCAGTGCCCTGTTCCTCACACTCCCACAGTCACCATTACTGTTATTCCCTCTCCTCAGTCCCTCACAGGCACGCCACGCCCACTCCAACACGCGCCCCTCCAGCACACGCAGTCCGTCATGCGCTCCCGCTGCGCCGCAAAGTCCTTCACCTCCTCCCAGTCGAACAGCTCCGTGTCCTCCACGTCCCTCACAATCGTCGGCATGCCCCGGCCGCGCAACACCCACAGCGCCACAGTGTCGTGCCGCCTCTCCTCCCCAATCATGAACGCAACACCCAACGTGTGCAGGCGCACGTGCTCCATGCGCTGCAACCACAGGCCGATCAGGTTGGCCGTCATGAAATGCATCTTGTCGTCCTCCGTGTACTTGGAGCAGACCCTCACATCCTCTCAATCCACGGCCTGGGTGCTGCGAGAGGCTGCCGAGAGGCGCCACGTGTGTGGAAGAAGCAAATGTGGGGAAACAACGGCCACCCTCACTCCCTCACACATCTCCACTTCCCTCCACTGTTCCACAGAAAAGGGCGGTGTCATGGGGAAGAGATGCCCGCCGCACAGCGCATGCAAGAGGGCACACGCGGAAGCAATGCCATCCACTTCGCACCGCAAGATACTGCCATGCGCTCAGCACACACACGGCGGCAACGAGAGCGACGGGGTGCATCCAATTACATACCGCACAGCCATTTACTTCTCTCCGCACGGCTAGTGGCGTCCCACACTCACAGTGAGGCACGGCGCACACCATCTTCTCCCTCCGAGGGCACTCAGGAGGCCGGCGCCCAGTCACCCTCGTGCCATCGCAATGGGTAGCACAAACAACCGTCGTCGCAAACCATCGGCGCCTCTAGCAGAAAAGAAGAAAAAGATATGAGGGCAGCTCAGAAACACAGCCAGCAGAGGGACACCCAACGACACACGGGGGCACACAGTGACAGTGGACACGGCACGGACAAAAAGAAGTCCGCAGGGATTTTTTAAAAAAGAAAAGAGAAACTAAAATGAATCAGTAGGACTTCCATTTCTTGTGCCATGCAGCACAAGACGATCACGTGCGCATAAATATTACCTGCACAAGTAAAAAATGTAATAAAAAAAAGAAAAAAATCTTATTACTCCACCAGCCCACACAACATCCCTCACATTTCACGCGGCATCCGGCCTCTTCTTCCATTCCCCGTTCCTGCAGTCCGTGGGAAGCACAGCAGCGGAGCCGGCACCGCGTGTGGGCAACAGCAAAAAAGAAACACACAAGAGAGAAAACACGTCGCCCATTCCAGTGCACATCAACCGAACATTAAATAATGAGAAGAAAAAAGGGCACTTATTACTCCAGTGGAAAAGCATCAAAAAGAGCATTACAAAGAAGAAAAAAAGGTTTAAAAAGCGATCCGTAAATCATTAAAAAAGAGGAGAAAAAGTGACATAAAAACCGCAAAGTATGCGGCAAATATCCCCCGTGGGGAGTCACAATTCCACCCTCTTTCGCTCGAAGGACTACCA